ATCTTCGAAGAAGTGACCACTTAGGAAGAAAAGCTCAACGTCGACGATAAGGATAAAGTGTCAAACGAAAAATCTGAGGAACACTGCAACCAACAACCAGTTAGAGTACATATGAATTAATGTTCTTTTTACGCAAACACTCCGGCCAGTCCTCTTCGAAGGACAGTTTGTTATCTATCTAAAAAGAGCTGCTGGCAAATCACCGTTAATTTAGCCTAACCGATTTCATAGAGAAAAATTTTCATAAAGGTTTATTTGTTACAGTTCCTAATGTTCGACCTCGCATAAAATAACGTTCTTTAGTACCTAATGGAACACCATTTGTAGGTATACAGTAAAATATCCATTATAATTCCCCGTTGGGTTCTGTTTCCTAGTTAGTTTGGGCTGTTTAAACGTACGTTTCAGCCCTCTATTGATTTGTGTCATACAGTAGGCCATGTGCTGCGTATTTGCCCCGCAGGTCAAAGCCTTCACGCCGCTGTTAGTACAAATGTATAATTTTTTTATTTACCCGTGAGCAGTGCATAACGCATTAGCTTGTAACTTAACATCTGGAGGCAGTTGATTGTGACAGACAATAGATCAATCCGCGTTTTGTTTGTCATGTTTAGCTACGTTTTACTGAAGTCGCGATTGGCGAAGCCAGATATATTGTCAAGTGTCGACGATTCCCATCGTAGAACGAAGTATGTTAGTACGAACAGCCGTCAATCTGCTACGAGACCTCTGCTGCCGATATGACTGCGGATACCGCATCGTCTATCGTTATATAGTTTGTCTTGTATCTGTATACGCGAACGATTCCAGCGCGATTGTTAGCTTGGTAATAGTTGATGGCTAAACTAAGTTTACAAGTTGCTACGAGTACGGGTATAGTTAGCATCAAATAATCAAAGGAGGCAGTGAATTACGGTGTATGTGCATAGCAGTGAAGATCTACCTCGAGTTCGTATGAGCCGAAGCGAGTTTTATGGATTCACAGGTCTTTCGATTACTTAACTTCTTAAGCCAAGTTTAATCGCATCGAAGTTTTTTGTGCATGCTTTCGGTCGACAAGACAGAGAAGGGTTTGCACTATAGGCTACGCAAACGTATAGTAAATTTATCCATAGAATCTCTTTCTCCACTGCAATCAAATGTTTGATAATAAATAGTTGTTGCGGAGTTGTTTTCGTGCATTGAGAACAACGCACGTACATACATATTGCACAACCGGTCGCCAAATGCGCACGACAACCTCTTCGAACGAAACAGCGTTGACTATTTTGATTAATTGATCTTATTGGTTTTAACTGGAACATCATACGTTCTTTCAGTTCCAGCGCTACGACGCGGTCGTACAGAAACTCCATTTGGGTTGGCCTTGTGCCCGGTTTAGTACATTGAACTTTTCTAATAAGCAAACATTAATGAAAAAGAGTAGATATACAAAAAAAAATCGGTCGTGAAAAATTGGCATAATAATGTATTGATTGCCTCAGGCGGGCCATCACCGAAGTGTAGACATTTAGTTCTTCCGACGGACTGAAGCCTACGACTACTTCAGCTGAAGGCAAAAGTATAATCGGTTAATGTTCACACTTATATATTATCGATAATGACGGTACGTGATGCAATCGCAGGAGAATATCCCAAATGAGTCAATACCAATGACTGCCCGTCTGTTTGCTGACAAAGCGCAGATATGAATTCGTGCAAAGGTCATCGTCACGTTAGTTGCCCAATCAAATAATAATAACACGCCATACGTCCGCGCTACAAATTACCATCAGATCTCGTAGCCTCTCGTGCCTCGCCCGAAATAATGTTCCGGCGCCGTGTTAGAAGACTATGGAAACTTTACTCGTTGTGCCTATTCTTGACCAGTAGCTAATGGCCACCGTGTCAATACTGCAACATAAATAACATAGCCGTTATTTGAAATAAGCGAGTTTGATAGAGGGGATTGATGAAATGGACACGGTATGCGTTGTATGAAATAGTCGTTTCTTATGAAGCGTTTCCCATGAACGCTTTGCTGTCTTCGAAAGATGTTTGCCGTATATGAAAATAGAGTTAATTAATAATTGACTCGTGGCTTGTGCAATCTGGCCCCGGTTCATCTTCTTAAAGCATATCGCCTCGTCTCCTCTGTTGGACTCGATTTCTGCGAGCGTCACAGGATATAAGATACAGTTTCCTCTATCCTGGCAAATATTTAGGGTGCAGTGCGTCAGTGATGATGTTCGTGCAAAGCACGGCTGTCCGTCATGAACATGATCGAGGTCTTCTTTATAAATTCTAGCCTATCATTGTTTCTTAACAATTATTAGCCATTCGTAGTGAATTCCAGTCGATTATTCAGGCCTTTTTGCATATTTTAACCCAACACTTTATCCGCTTTACTCAAATCTGGCGGGACCAGTGTCTGATTAGTTAATTTAAAATGCCCTGCAAAGGTAGCTTCAGTGGTTCGACGGAGAGCGAAAAGGTTGAAAATTCTTTTCTTCGCGCCCGGACAATAGAAGAGATGGTGAAGAACAAACTATTACAAGACGATTTTTAGTATGGTTTAGGTCTGTCTTGAGGCAGGACGACTGAACTCCATTGGTCATTAACCCAATAGAACTAGGCATACCCACTATTTTGCTTTCTTCCACCCACACATAAAAAAACTTTCTGACCTTATTTTTATAGAGGTTCTGCTTGAATCTTTGTGAATAAGAACACGCAGTATTTTGTTCACTTCAGTCAAGACGTGCTGAATCTAGACGCCAGCTCTTTTAGTGAATTTTATTAATTGAAGATGATAAAAAATTATACTGTGAGGAATCATCTCCATGGTCTATTGTTGGCAATGGCCTACGATAGCATTGCGCAACACTCAAATTTAGGCTATGACTTTCGAATTTTGAAAAAACTTTCGCTTGGCAACTACGTTTTGTCTGTACATAGCACGAACGCTTCGGCGTACATCATCAACGCTGCGTCCTCGAGAAAATCCACTGAAAAAAGAATGTCAAGAGGAACTTGTTTATCGTTTCGATCATCCATGTTCAAGACGTCCTATGACAAAAAAAAAACAAAGTTGTTTTTTAACGCAAACCTCGGACCGTAATTTTGCTGTGTAAACAGAGCGTGTCATAATAAAAGAATGCGTTAGCCTCAGAGCTAGGATGGGAGAACATGACGAGACCTTTTCCTCCAACTTCGAAGGTGTATGGGCAAGACAATCGAGCGCGGCATGTCCTGTCTAGTCAGCAATCAAATAGCGCGCTTTTCCCACGCGCAGGCAGTGCGGATATGGAAATGCGTCGTCTAGTTCAATATCAAACAAATTTCATAAAAGGGCAAAATATGTATGCATAATAACCTGCAACGATCTTGTCTCTGCGAATAGGTGCACACTGTTACAATAGAGAGTCTGTGGGAATCGATTTGCCGACGTTATAGTTTTCATCCATCACGAATCTGTCTTAAGCTGTTAGGTATGCGACCGTCGATGATGATGATGATCCTGCGCCGAATCCGCAAGCTCGATGTCAAGTACGTGAAAACATCGGGCGATCGATTGGTTTAGCGGCATGCTTTCGGGATTCCGTACGTTTGTAACGTGTTAGTTCGCGCGGTCGTTTCGAAATCCCCGTTTGGAGTTTTACGACTCTGTGCAGGACGAAAAAGGGATCTCGTGACGAGATGATACTTGTGGCCTCAGCACTGACGCCATCTTCGACAGCTTTCGGCAGCTTGACCAGAAGGAGAACTTGATTCGAAGACGGGCACCGAAATAGATTCCTACAGTATGGCATTTTATCGAACTTCTATCATTCTCTAAATCCAAACGCGTCCATTTTGGCACTCGCTATAACGCGTCAAATAAATCAAACAGATTTCTATGTGACTTTAATTCCTAGATAGTTAACCAAGATACACCAGCATAGCTGAAAAGAGACGTAGAAAAAAAACCTGCTGCTTCGCAGCGGCAGTGTCTGCCAATTATATGTATTGACAAATCACCACAAAATGGTTGGTTACACATCGATATGCGTATCATACTTATTATTTGTCGAAATATATATCCAGCTCGAAAACACAACGATATTGGGTGAGAAAGGAACCATATTTTTGTCATACAAATACTGTCTATCCAGCAAACGCGCCATTTGGTTCGTATTGTCTATGCGTCTAGGCCTGTCTGACGTTTAAAGGCTGCGATTCTCCTTAGCAAACCTTGATTCGGGGTTTAAGAAGCAGGCCGCGTTATATTTCAATAATTAGGATTGATATTGTGAGAAACAGAGTTCCTAATACGCTATACTTTAGAGTGCCTATCGTTGATTGTGGTAAGCTAGAGATTATACATTATATTGGTAAAAGAGCTACGTAATTAGTGTTTTGGCCTTATATTATAAGTATTATAGTAAAGCTTAAAAAAACAGTTACACAGTCTACTCCAGCTCCTGCTTTCCACCTCATCATACACTTCTTTAAGCGACCCTACTTTGCCGCTTGCACATGGTGCGAATATGTACCGAAGACGGGATAGAGAATTCACCTTTCGTAGTCTATAACGCTAACAAGCTACAAAGATGGCGCGCTCGTTCATTCTTATTATGTTTTCGAGGTATTTCATTAGATGCGTATGCCTAATTAGAAGGTACTCCACAATATCTGCATGTGTAAACTTGGTATTTTTTTGAGCTTTACGTTCGCTGCTAGGAGTGAGCATTGTTTCAGCTTCCAGCGAAACACAAAATGTATCTACGTCCGGTTTCAAGCTTACGTATATAGTTCGGTTTATGATCAAGTGCGTTACCACTAAATTATGGCGCTCACATGCGAACGTGATGTTCTCATCTTATAATTAAATATTAGTTTTCCGTTCCTCTCTGTCGGATGATCTCTGGGAAACCAGTTGACCAACCCTGCGGAGCCGCATCGCAGCTTGCAGCCGCCTAACGATAAATTTAGTATGTGTGATAATCGTAACCATGTGTTTCAACACGGTTTTGTTTCAGCAACTCTACAAGCGTCGTATGGCCGAGGAGCAAATGCAAAAGTTCTCGCAGACAGCATTTCAGCGACGACTGGGTCTGGCATACGCATCGAAATTCCCTATACTTCCGCCGCGTCTACGTTTCAACGCTCGCTCTAAGGACAAAGACAACGACGATATCGATCTTAGCTCGACTAACCTCAGTCCGTCCGCGATCCTCTGGGAGTTGCCTCGAAAACACTTCAACAGGTACGTCGGATAATTCAGATTAGGATGAAGTCAATTCTATATAATTGATGACCAATCCCGCACGCATTATTTCAATATTATATTATTTACTAATTATTGTAACCGATGCATAATCGTTCGTTTTCATTCGTCAGCACTTCAAGCGGTACGTCGATGTGACGAGCGGCACACGTCTTCTCGTTTCTCTTCTGTAGTTTCTTTCATATATTTCTAAATAAAATCATTTATAATCCCGCTACGTTTTTCTACGACTAGCGTACGGTCTAAGCAAACGCTTTTTTTTCTATGGACGTTGTCTTGGTTCCGTATTGAAATGCAAAATTTTATTTTCTGTGAGTCAACTGTCCCGTCGAATGTTTTGAAACATTTGTCGCGGCAAATTAACAGTTGCCGTTTAAAGCATCTGATATCTATTAGCGTTGTATCTATCGATCCGCTCGGTGAGCAATGAGTACAACCGTGCGTTTGGAAAAACGTTTATACACTACATTTGGCCTAGGCGCAACGATGGGAAAGGCAAAACTGGCTACGCGTTGGAAGAGATTCAAAGTCGTAGACAGATTCGTTGGTGTTTTGACAAATGACCACCAAGATCTACCGGAGCACTCTGAACAGACAGATTAACGTAACGTAAATGTACGTACTGTCATTGAAGTTAGACAGGATAGCATGAACACTGGAACACCACTTCCCTTGTAGAAAGGCCCTGTTCAGTTGTCGTGCTGAGCTGATGCCCTTCTTTTTTGTCGCTCGTTCTGTGTTACGAGCGTACTCGGCTAGTAAACGTATATTAGGATAGGCGTGTTGGCCTGTTTATAAAGCAGATTGCTAAGTTACATTCATCTGAACGTAGCTGTAAAGCCTGATGATACCTCATCAGGTTGTAAGCGGTCATTGTTAGTATTTTTTTTTTTGGGCACATCGTTGTTACACTGACTTTTCATTGGAACTATTGACTTAACAGTGATTTTAGTTAAGTGTGGTTAGAATACCTGAGATTTTTACGTTCCGTTACGCTGTTAGACTAGTATTTTATGTGCAACAATTGGCGTGGGATTTTAGGGATGGCAATGTCTACTGCCCTAATCACTATATAACTGCATTCAAGGACTCGGTAAATGCCATCGCTGGCATACGATGTTTGACGAAGATAAACCACCTTCAGCAGAAGACACTAACTGTAGCTCTAACTAGTTATGAACAATCGAAGCTTAGCAAGGATATTTGGTGTTGCTGTTTATTTAAGTAAATTTGATTTCAAAATTACAAAGTTAAGCCTTATTAGCAAGTGGCACTCAAGCTGGGCTTCCCCTTCATGCGGCAAAAGGTGGCTGAGCACGCTTGAAGAGGGATAGAGTTAGAGCGCACGAAGATTACGAAAACAAAGTTGGTAGCGGGAGGAGTTCAGGGGAGACGCAGCTCGATGTGCTCTGCCGGGATTTGATGGCTTTACTCTACTGCACAGACTGGCGTCCAACTCAGTGAGATTTAGCCTAGGTTACTGCTGGCTCTGAGCTGGTTTTCGTACTCGTGCTGACCGTGGGAGAATTCCCATTTAGACAAAACACAACTCGCAAAATGAATGCTATTGAGTAATAGGCGTTGGGCTCCCTAAGCTTACGACGGACTGGCAAGCTGTAATAGGTTTGTTTTGTCTGATCGACAGAAACAACGTGAAGATAATCGACAAGATAACTGCTTCTGAGATAACTTCGAACGATTATAAATAGCCAGGTTTGCGCCACCTTGAATTTACACGCCCAGGAGTACACTGCGACTAACTTTCATCTGTACAAAGAGACGTAATTGTTTTAATTGGTAATGGCTCGCAATTTTTTCCGCATATGTAACGGAATACGTAACTCGTTTCTTATTCGGGTCTGCTTGACGGGTTCAGGTCACGCGGCTTGGTCGTAATTTTTTGATGGTGTTGCCATAAAAGTATCGCAGTCTGCATTTTATTTAACACAGACTCAATACGATCATTTGTTTTATGTAGCTGCTTCCAAATAGCTTTTACGTAGCATATGCGTAGTATAAAGCTAAGCGGCTAATTAAGTACCCCACAAGTTTACTTTTACGAGGCCTACTTAAGTATACGTCTAATTACTTATAGGTTTATAGTGTTTGAAGAATATACCATATCACTTCTGTTTAAAGTTTTGGCATATGGTTTGTCCACGGTGTCGTAATTCTGCCCATTCCCGACCCGCATATACGACAAAGCCAATTCTCTCCAGGGATTTGATTATGTGCTAAATTCTGGCAGGCGTCCCTTCGATATTATATTTTCGCCACAAGAAGCTTTCATTAAGTTCTGCCAATTTTCGATCGCTCTGATCCGTTCTGATTGCCAGATCTCTTACTATCTTAATGTGCTCGTTTCGGGCTCCCAAATGTTCGTGCTCATCCGATTCTGGTGATAGATTATGCTACATATTACTATATTATTAGTATTGTTACTGGCAAGGACCGAACATATCCGACAATCCGACGGTGTCTGGTTTTACATCGTATCTTGCGTTGGGCATGAAAGAAGGTATCAAGATGTGTTAACATATAGTGACAAAGGCAGCAGCAGATTTCGGAATATAAATCTGTAATGTACCATAGCTCAAATGCTACTCTTGAAAATGACGCGTAGACGGCTTTAAAACAGAATTGCTATACGCCAGAATACTGTAGACTTTCGAAAAGCAGAATCCAATTTGGAATTGATTAAAGTCTGTGAATTATTATAGGAGAACTGTCGAACGCTTGGCATTGTTACGCATATCGATGCCACCCTGCCCCCTTTGGACTTTGCCCTCACGTACTTCACACAGTCCAAACCTCTGTAGAAAAAATTATACATGTACACATATGTCGGAGAATGAACCAAATCTGTGATAAATTTTTAAAGCAGGTACTCATTGTGCAGCTATCACTTTGTTTAGACATTTTGTATTTGATACTTGTATAGCATGACAGCACACGCCCGAGTATGCAAGAGGCTAACCGCATAATATTATAATGCCCATATAGGCTACTTCTATGGCCCTTCTTCGACCACATATCACGCTCCTTCAACATCAAGATGACTCAATTATATTGGGTTCACTTTGTTGCTGATCGGCCTTAACAGGTTGAGCGTATAAAAAATGATATCCATAGAACATGTAATATACTACCGAAAACCTTGCTCAGTTTAGACATTGTTATAAGGTACATATCTCAGTCTGTCATAAAGTTTGTTAATATGACAAATTCTGAAATATTCAGGACCCACCTAAAGACCCATTATTACCTTTGGAACGCCTCAGAGCGTACTATTTGTTGCACTTTGAAGAACGCATTTCTTCTGTTGTTTTCGGATCTAGGCTTTTCTACTTACCGATTGACGACATCGATTCAACTTCAATAATTATATCTTGCTGGGTGTGCTTATAGTAGTTAAGATACGATAAACTTTTACGAGGTTCGTTTTACCCACACTATATTTACAAGTTTCCTAAGTTAACAGTTCTTGAAGCAAATAGTTACTACCGGTGGGCTTTATGGACCAATACGGAGTAAACTGGCATTATCAACAGTTATTTTATTTTTGATACAAGTAGATAGACGCTGATGTCTGGTTCTGTTTAAAGAACCAACGATAACACAGCAGAAGTGTTAGAATACCGCCATCACAACTATTGTCCAGGAATGGTCATTGTAAGTCGTCGAGCCCGAACGAGTTTGCAAAGACGATACAATGGGACAGAATTTTTCATTATGTTATCTACATTTTTCTGCTATACTTGGAACTTTGTTTCGCCATATGGCCATTTCTTGCATAGATATAAGAAGATACTTAGAACATTTAAGCTAGACTAGAATTGTTTCTATCAGAAATACTCGATGCCATCAGTAAGCACAGCAAAACAAAGCATCACCGACAATATCAGCATCAGCGATGTGAACAAAAGTGCACTGCTGATCAACAGGGGATCAAGTAGACGGCGGAGTATAACGGGCTCGTTATCAGAAACGTAATGTTTTTCGTTCTTACTGCCTTTCCGCGACCGCATTTCTCTGAGCCAGGCCTTGTTGTCCTGCTATTAAGCACCGGCGACAGATGCAATGTTGCTACATGCTACTGTCGAAACGCACCGGCCAACGCAACAGTCGTCTCGAGGGACGGCAAGAGGTTACGCTGCGTCGGTCTGTGCTCGTTCCACTGGCAAAACTGAAAAGATGAACCGGTATGTAGAACTATTGTGTGGTGCTCGGACGAGGAAAGTGAGAATGAAGCAGGCGATGCTGCCTATGGCCGATGAACTTGATTGATTTGGCTAGAGAACATCGTCGGTTTTGCCTTGATGTTAATTTCTGTTCGATTGTCTGCCGCGTATAGTATGTAAAATATTCGAGTTGTTTTATTCATTGCTCCAGTAAGGACATAGGCATGGCCTTACAGAGGTAGCGGTAACGATACAGAAATAGTAGCGATAGGTCGAACATATGCATAGATCGAACACTATGCAGTGAGCTTAGGGTCTGTGGCTGTGGTTTTTGTTTTGTTGATTGCTTTAATAGTTAAGCGGACATATGTTTCTGTTCTATTGCTACACCTTCGTTGCTTGTAGGCGGACACTTACATATAAAAAAACATATTGTACACGTATAATGCATATATGTATTTTTCTGTTATACAAATAAGGCGGCGGCGGCGGGGTATGCCTGCTTGTTCCACTGACAATATCAATATCTGTTGATATCCCATGATTGGTGCGTCCGCTTCATGAAATGGCTGCTACATCTGTGGGTCCGTATGTGCGGCCGCGAATTCTGTCTGTCACTGTTATCGCTCGGGCTCGGCCATCTCTCACCGTACATCGCAGACTGCGCTTGCCTCGGTGGTCATTTACTCAATCAGGCAAGGTAGATATCAAAGACATGGCCCCGCCCTTCACCAAGCGCGTGATAGTAGCAGGCCCTGGACCGCCCTGAAGGCTACGCCAGCTTTGAGCACAAAAACT